TTCCTCTACTGCAGTAATACCAACAAATGAAATATTACGATTTGAAGGTCTGATTGAACACTAGTTGAATTGGCGGGCGTATTTACTATCAAATCATGACGATAAATATTCATTTACTTCTTTTTATTATTAAGTTGCAGTTGCAAATAAACTATTACAAGTATAAAATTGTTTTTATCATCCTTATTGTGGTTAAATCACGTTATTTTTTAATTCTATAACATTAAATTCCTACGCCTATGAGTTTTCAATTGTATAGTGACAACTAAGTTTATAATAAAGTTGCATGATACACACACTAATGGTTTGCTGACTTTCGATTCAAAATTTGTCCAAACCGCGCATGACGTTATTTTGATACTTTTCGATTGAATAGTGTAAAATAATTTAATAATTTATTTGGTTTTGTGTTAGTAGTGGGTATATTTTCCTATATATAACAGGGAAGAACTAAATTAAGGTTTAAAATGCCGGTCTGCGCGGTGGAGATATTTCCGAATGCCACAAAATATGGGTAAATTCTTATCGAAGAAAGGACAAACTTAATTGAAGTTGCCCTATCCACTTTGAGGAAAGTAGTTGTGAAATTTTTCTTAAACATAGACGCAAGAAAAGAAATCTGAATTTCACCAGGTGCACAGGCCTCATTAGGCAAAGAAAATAAATCGGTATTTTAAAATTTTAGCAGATAAAACAGTAGTTTCCTGTCCCAATATAACGGTTCTTTTGAAGTAATGCCATGCATGAGCATGACATGAACATAAGACAGAAGATAAATGAACAGAAAAATTGGTTATGAGTATTTTCGAAGTAAATTTGACAATGTTTAAATTTACCAAATAAAAAAGTAATTTTTTGTGTATTTACTTTTTATAAATAAATAATTTGTTTCTGCACACTTATTTTTATTACCACGCCCAGAAAGTACAAATTTGAGTCAAACTTTTTTATTCTATATTTTTTACTTATCTTGTGGCCAGGTTATGGATTTTGTCACAAAATACCTATAATTGATGAGAAAAATTAATATTTTTATTACTATTATTTACCTTAAACTGTTCTTTTAAGAACAACCATATTGCCTTCCTCGCAGGTTTAAAAATGCCAAAGAAATTAAATAGCCGATGTAAGGAGCTCATAGCTTCATTGATACAGTATTTTGAACAAGAACGCAATAACAATGATCCTTTACTACCTTTAACTGCTGTTAGAGAAGTTTGTACTGATATTGTCTAGAAACATCAAACTAATTTCATTTTTTAGCGTGTATCGGCAGCACTTAACTTAAATTTGTCCACTGTAAGTGCTATTTCTCAAGCAGCTAAGAATGAATTGTTTTGAAATCGCCTCCAATTATTATTACACCAAACAGCGATGATAGTGATTTCAGTAGCAATAAATCTGAATAACAATCTCAAGAGACGTCGAAAGAGACATTGTTACAATTACGGTGATGATTTGGAGATGAAAAATATTTGTTTTCATTTTTAGATACCCAAATATTGTTCAGGTAGTTAAAAAATAACTGCAATATTATAATAATGCTTCTACATGCTATATTAATATAATTCCATAAATCAAATTTTGATATTATTTTTTAAAAACCTTACCCAACTGATGTTCTTAATAGATTCATGCTTATACATAGAAGTTACTACTGACTGGTATTTCTTATTGGCTAACTAGTTGGGGAGCACAACGTATAAAAATAGCTTCCCGTGGGAAACTTCATGAAGGGAAGGTGTCCGTGGTGTTGTTTTATCAGAAAAATGATGTATTTCATTAATTTTTATGGTGACACCGTCACAGATGTTGCGTTTGTTTGGAGTGCGTCAAACAAAATGGCCGCCATAGCAATATAAACAATGTGCGTTATCATCGCCGCTTTTAACCGATTTCATTTTTTTTAGCTTGTTAGAAAGGTAATGTAAAGAGGAAAACAATTAATTCTTGAAAGTATTGCGAAAAAACAATATTTTGGTTGCTGGTTGGATTTAAAGTGAAAAAAATTAAAAAATATTCAGTTATCTTATTTTTACCAAAAGAATATATGGTTTACGTTATATTAGTTTATGTATTTAAAGAAATTTAAGTGATACATTTGCACATATATTTTAATAAAATTACAAATCGGCCTCATCATTATCAACTTCATCACTACCTCCGTCGGCAAAATCAGGCGGATACAAATTATCACAAGTTGATTGGTCTGCATTACAACTACACATTTCTGTGCAAGGCATATTGTTTGCCAAACATTTACATGGTGGTGATTTTTAAGACACGAACATCTAATCAGTTAAAGAAGAGACTCTGGAGCACATGGTTCTTCACACATAACAGGGGTAAGCACTCCCTCTTCCAAATACCAGCCGTGTCCAACTGGATTAGGGATGACTGCATTTGGTTGATCATCTTTTGACCACATAAATGCTTGAAGGTTACCTCTGTTAATTGCGGGTACAAGGGAACCTCTAGTGGGGGGTAACTTATCTCCAAGGGCTTGTTTGTAAACATTGACTATTGTAATTCTGCAAGTGATTTTGTTAGAGCTTGCTTTATAAACCCGACAAATAAATATTTCTAGTTGATGCAAAACATCATCAGGTACTAATTCACTGGTACCAAGTTTCTGCAAGGCAGTAAGTTCTTCTTCACTCGCAGAAACAAACAACTTCCAGTATGACAACTTTCGTTATCCAAACAAACTTCCGGTGGTGTCACAACCTGATATTGCATGGAACCCGGGCAGTGCTGAAGATTTTACTGGTCCGAGTGAATCATATATATGTTTTTAACTGATATTGCCTCGTCTGACGATGGTACAAAAAAGGTGTTTTCCGGAAGCCTTGCATAGCGCCTCGCTAGAAAAACTAAAATATCTGTATCTTTAGCAAACACCAGTAGTATATCTGCACCTCTAACTTATGTATTAATAACATGAAGTATAATTTTTGTGTTGGCTTCTTCTTGAGTACTCTTTAAACAATCCATAGAGCAATGCGTCGCAGAAACTTCAGTGCGCCATAAAACAACACATTTTTTGCGGATTTCTTGGCATGAATTAGAATAATTGTATGTGCAAGATAGGTGGTTAATTCATCGTTGGTATGGGTATGTGACAACAACTTTTTCAAATTTATCTTTGATATGTCAGTTGTGTCACATATTTTGTACTGTTTTTTATTGATTGGTCCAAGTACGTGCCGAAAATAACATGAAGTTCATCATATTGCCAGTATTTCCTTTGGATCATTTGGGTGAACAAATCTGCAAGATCTTTACAAGTTTTCACTGCGCTAGTTTTATCGAGAGCCTGCAGTTCTCCCATTCTCCCATTGCATAGGAATATTGTTTTCAGCTAATACAAATACCTTTCGATCAAAATAAAATAAATTGAAATCGGTTCAGCAGAGACCGAGATATGTCACTTGGTTCATAATGAAGCGGCGGCCATCTTGGATGACGTCATCACAGCCACACTCAACATCTGTGAAAGTAGCACCATCGAAATTATTGAAGTGTATGTTTTTATCTATCGAATAGTACCACTAGTACCTTCCCTTCATTAACTTTCCCACGGGACACACAATATTTCCGTACTAAACATCACAACCATTTGCAGCTCCTTTTCTATAGCTACAATTGTCGAAACTTTCAAAGATTCCCCAATTATTTTCAAAATTTGGCAACGGTGTGGAGTTGTATTGTATGAAGTATAGTTATGAATCTTCCTAATAGTTACAGGTAAGTCTTGAAGGCTAAATGGTAAGCAAATATTGCATGTACATTTTTATTAGGGTTATGTAGTTTCAGCAATTTGTTCGTCATACAATGAGTCACAATATTATGCCATATATAATTTTTAATTTTTTTTTTTATGAATAAATGTTACCAATGTATAAAAGTACAATGATCTTATGTTGCATAAATCCCTTTCATAAAGTAATCTAGTTGAGTATCGACTATAAATTTTTGTAAATAAATTTGAATTATAGACAAAGATTTTTATGAATTATCATATAATGATTCCCAAATCAGTATTTCATATCTTAAAAGTGATTCCACTAAGGATTTGTTTACCAAAATCAAAATATCTCTGGCACGTCCACTTCAATACACATTTTTTGATAAAACATTTTGGGTTGTGTTTGGTATATTGTTAATCAATTTTCACTGCCGCCAAATTATTGAATTTTTCACAATCAATTTGTGACATCCAAAGGAAATTTTGTCTCCATAATTATTAAAGTTTTTAGTAGATTTTCGTCACCATGTGTTGTTCAATAAACGTCTTCTTTTAATATTTTTTCCTATTGTCAAGGAGTTACCTCAATTAGTTAATATTCATATTTATTCTTCAGATTATGATATTTCAAAATTCAGAGATCAAGCGTTCCACACAAATGCCTCTTTTTGCGGTGCATAGTACACATCTACGTAAATTATAACACAAACGAACATATTTGTGCTAAATACAAAACACAACGAAAAAATTCACTGATGTGGACACGGCTTTAAACTTTAAAAATTTGTATATTAATTTTCTAATTCCTTTTGTGGATTCCATTTTATATTTCTATCGATAATGATTCAACTTCTTTTATGTCTCCAAATATCATTAATATTAATGTTGTGAAATTAGATCTGTTTATGTATGTAATGGTCAATGCTATATAATTGGTCTTATCTGCATTTAAAGACAGCTGATATCCATTCAACCACAGCTTTATAACATTTATATCTTCTTGAACACTTTCCTTAGTAACTTGCTAACCACATCAACTAATAAATTACTACATACTAAAATAAAGTTTGAAAACAATATTTTTACACATTCAAGGATATCCTACATATTAATCTGTTTTAATATCTACTCTACATGTACTTCAATAACACCTTAGATATCACGTTCCTGACATTGCGACAATAATTTTTTATTGATTTAATATTTAATTTGAAAAAAAAAAAAAATATATAAAATAAGAAAGATCACTTACATGCGAGTTTCTTAACGGGGTCCAGTAAAGGTTCGGGTACAATAGGATCATCAGTAGCATTAATGAATATCATGGGAACTGTTATTTTTTCGAAATATTGTTTGCTTGAACTCCATTTGTAATATTCTGAAATAGTTGTAAATTCATGTACCCTTCTTGCATAAGCCTCGTCCAATTCCGGTAATGTGGCTGCCGAAATAATTTCGTGTTCGTTCAAACTGTAGCGTTTTTTTAGATCCTCGGACAAAAGCATTTTCCGATGACGCAGTATCGTATTTTTTAGATTTTCCGTCATGACATATAGGTAGAATCGCCTGAAGTTTTGCCAGCTCAGCATATGCCTAGTACCCCTAAAAAAGTTTTATTATAATTAAAAAAAAAAAAAAAATCCAATACAAAAGAAGAAAAACAAGAAAATCTCAAAGCCATTTGTCACAAAATAATGAGCCTCCCTTCGAAAAACTACTCCTTTGGCAAATGCAACAACAGGGTTTGTCTGCAAAGACTGCGGCGCTCCAGTTGCCAGCAGCACGTTATTCGGCGGGGGGATTTGTGAGATAGGGGTCTAAGCTAAACTGCATCATATTTGACTAAAGTCGAGGGGTAAACACATCAAAAAAATGTGTACACAAGAATTCCTAACATAAAGAAAACCTGAGAATTCCTAGAATACCTGAGAATTCCCGGGAATGCATGATAATTTCCAGGAATACCCAGACTTCCCGGGAATACCCAAAGACTTCCTGGGAATACTCATAAAATACTGAGAGAATAACTGGGTATCTCCAAGTAACGCTCAAAAAATATATGAGAATAACCAAGTATTTCTAAAAATTTCTCTAGAATTAGTAAATAATCCTTAATGAGGTCCTTAAATTATTAGAAATTTAAACAATTGTTCCGGATTTATTAGATTAGATTTAATTAGGACCGAGGGACATGTGGCCTCCCCCACCTCGACCTTATCAGATCTATTGAGGATATCCTTTAATCGTTGTTTAGAGTACCTTGTCTAATTCAGTCTTTTGTAGTAGACGCCATAGACTAGGAAGTTGTTCTCCGGCTTAGCTAGTTGCCATTGGTTTTTCTTCTCCAAGTGTAAGGAATTTTATGATTAGCATTTTTTTCCCTCAAATTAGATTATATTTTACTTTTGATAAAACATGAGAAATAAAAAGATGAGATATTAACTGTGGGAAAAATATATTAACTTTGGAAAAAAATCATGTTAAAAATAATACATTTAATTTTTTAACATTCCGCTTCCTTAATATTTAACAAATGAATGCACATACAGGGTGGCTCACGCTCAACGGGACGGATTTTTATGGGAAAACGACCAAAGATATAAAAAATTCGTTTGGGAGGAATACTTAGGTTACAGACGGCTACAATTTAAAATTTGTTAGATGTATACAGGATGTCCCACATAAATGAAAAAAAATTAGTTCATTAAAAATTATTCAAACAAGAGTAAACAATTATTAATTTCTGGGAGACTTTTTTTCCTTAAAAATTCAAATAAATCGAAAACTAATAATAATAATAATAGTAATAGGGAACCTTTAGTTAACTGGCATTATTTTTGATGTAGTTTTTAATTCTAAAATAAAAAACAGGGTGTTCCATTAAAAATAATATATGTATATTTTCTCTTATGTGGGACATCCTGTATACATCTAACAAATTTTAAATTGTAGCCGTCTGTAACCTACGTATTCCTCCCAAACGAATTTTTTATATCTTTGGTCGTTTTCCCATAAAGCTCCGTCCCGTTGAGCGTGAGCCACCCTGTATAATCGTCAAAACTAAAAAAAACTTATTTGGTTTTTTTAGAACATTCTCATAATTTAAATATTTTATAGCAGCGTGTGTGGCCAAAAATTCAAATCTGACAAAATATCGAAAAAAAGTATGGTTCAAATAGATAAAAATTACTAATATGTTTTATAAATTTTTATTGAGACATTTTTATTTATTAAAAACGTGTTATTTATTTAAAATAAAACAAAATAATAAAAACTAAAATCAAATTATTTAAAACTCTTAATAAACTGTTACCCGCTTATATTCTTTATATATTTTCCTTATTTCTTCCTTTGTTTCTTTGGGTATACTAAACGGTCGAAAACCTAGTAAAGTTATTGACCCGAATAGGATGAATTCCTTTTTAACTGTTTGTATAACATCCTTGTTAGGCCAATAATGTACCATGAATGATCGTAGTAGATGGCGTAATATTTATCAGTTTCCATTAAATTGACAGTGCTTTTCTTGTAATTTTTAGAGTCGGCAAATTCTGGGACTCCCCTAACTCTTATAATCCTATCCGAACTTAATTTATTGGATTGCTCGTCTAGTAACCAACATATTGTTGTTTTTCTAATTGTTTTAGATTTATTTCAAGTTTTTATGTGCACTACATTTTTTTTGTTTTAGTATCACTAACATTCAGAGAATGAAAGTTTTTCAAAATAATTCCTGCTTCAGAAGTGGCCTCAGTCGAGGTTTCATCCTCGGTCTCAGCTTAGACTTCAATAATTTCTTGTTCTCTGTCAGCTTCGCTTTCTGAGATAATATTTTGAAAAAGTTCTTGACCTTCAATTATGTTATCACTTTCTATTAAGTTTTAATTTATAATTAAATCATCATTCGAGTCACTGTCAGAATGAACGTTTTCTTTGCCTTCTTCATAACATTTTATGTACTCTATTCTTTATATACCGGCATATTAAAATTTTGACAAGACATTTTAACAGCATTTAAAGCAACATTAACACATTTTTCAATAGCTGTTTTATTTAAAAATTCGTTTAAGTTTGGGTCTAAATTATGTTTATAATTGTTCTCTCTAGGGAATATAATTTTTTATACAGTCTTTTTTTTTCTTAGGACTGTATGACTACGAATTGTTATATAGTCATTAATGTATTCTAGTTTATTGGTTCTCTTATTTCTAACACACTGAAATTAACAAGTGTTTAGAAAGTGGATGTCATAGATCTCGTAGCTCTAAACAGTTTTTCACATGTTTAAGAACTAAATAGCCATGGCAAAAACATTTATTATGAAGTATTTTCATCAAATTGTTTTTTTTATTTTTAAAAAAATTATTTAACTTTATAATAAGATGTGTATTCAGTTCCATACATAAGTAGCTATTTAATGTTACAAAATTATTTGATAAACTCAGGTTTTCTTCAGAGATTATCCATCCCTTCCAAATTCGCAAAAAGAACACAACATACCACATACAATAAATTCTAGTATAAATCGACATATTTTTATCCAAAAACGCCACTTTGATCTTGTTCATTAAATTTAAGTATTCGACGGTCCTAGCGCATCATGTTTTAACAAATTTTGCACCATTTCAAAACACTTGTACTGTTATTAAATTTTCTAATAACTTTTTTTTGAACCTTCCTTTATGAGGGTTACTTGGAGAACAATTTTTATAGAGAGTTGCCCAAGAATACCTGATAATTCCCGGGAATAACTGAGAATTTCCGGTTATACCTGAGAATTCCCGGGAATACCTAAGAATTCCCGGGATTACCCAGATAATACCTGAGAATTTCCTAAAAGATGTACACAGGAATTCCCAATGTATTTACCCCTCGGCGAAAGTCGCGTCCACAATAAATCCCCTGTAGTAATGTCACAAGGATACAAGAAATAGCGTTGAGCAAAAATACTAGAAGATAGTATCGCATAAATATGTTATGCCTGGCATCGCTGTACGACGAGACCGAACGGTGTATTAATTATGAACAGCTTAATTTTAGCGTCCCCTATTGACTGAACCGATCCTTTCTCAAATTTCTATTTGTAGTAGCCCACGATAGCCCGTAAGAAATGTCGGGTCAACGTGGACCTCGATATCCAATCACAAGTCAGTGATTTTGCTCAACTTATGTTCTAATTGGTTCTTCGGTACGCTTCTATGTTTCATTGCCGTGTTAAGTGATCCCAGATTGACAATGTTTGCTTATTGTGTTGTATTCACATTAGTGTTTGCATTTTTGGTTTATAAAAAAAATGGCTTTTTGAAGGCCTTTTGAAAGTGATTGAAATAATGTAATCCCTGAAGGTATGTAAATAATTATAATTTTTAAGTAAATAGGATCAGTTGCACCCCAAAAACAACTAAATTGATATTTAAATACCCACATAAATTGTAAAATTTAAACAATTCAAAGTCGGCTTTGGCAGTTTATATTATTGTTTACCTATACAGGGTGATTCAGAAGAACAGGTAATATTTTATCTGCTGATTCTATAGAGCAAAATGTTAATTTTTGGCTCAATAACTGGGGGTCAAATATTAACACATACTGAGAAAATGTAAAAACTGTACGAGAACATTTTATTAAAAAAAGTAACAGGCTGAATTAAAATTGGAAAATAATGTATCTAATTACGGTGTCATAAAAAGAATACACGTTTTGACAAAAATTTCAATAGTTATTATAAGCCAGGAATGTCTTCCAAGAAAAAAGTCTAGATCACTGCATGATGAAGAATATAGAAGAAAGGTTTATAATTTTTATTTTAATAATATCGTGCCGCATTTTCAAGTGATTAAAAAGGAAATAAAGTTGGTTCCCGGTTTCCCTTACAAATCTGACAAAACTACTAGAAAAGTGCTCCATTCTTTGGGTTTTAGATATCGTACCTTAAATAGAAGACAGCATATATTATGGAATCTCAAAGAATTATGATTTTACGTAATGAATACCTCACTAGAATAGATGAAGTTCGTCGGCAAGATATATTCGTAGTGTATCTTGATAAGACTCGGTGCGACACTCATGATATTATAAAAAAAAGGATGGAGTGATGAATCTACTCAATGTTCTGTGAATGCTCTTTCAAATAGAGGAAAACGTAATATAATATTACATTCCATAGAGTATTTCTTGCTCATTCTTGCATTATAAACCTGAACGGCACGTCAAGTGAAGATGATAGTTCTGATGAGATTTTATTTTCCATTTTGGTTATATTTTTACGTTATTAAACGTAACCGCGTATCTTTTGGTTCATGTTATTTTGGAAAGGAATATGGTATTGTTCCTGTTTTCCTTCTCTAGGCATGTAATACTGACATGGTATAAAATTCCTTTTTGACTATACAATAGACAATCTCAAATAAAAGCGTAACATACAAATAATTAGGTCCGACCTTGAGCCGCCGTTACAGGTGTCTATATATGAGTTCCTTTGTTGTGCCGAAAGAGAAAGAATATCTTTTAACTCCAACTATACTCATATAATTTAGAACGAACTTCCTTACAGGTAAATCGTTTGTTACATTAATTGAGGCCCAGTTGTACCATTTGAGTTCAGGCGAGGTTCAACTAAACTTGGTTTTGATTGTGACATTTGGGTATTGTTAGTACGATGTTTGTCACAGTCTAAACTAAGTTCACTTGAACCTCCCTTAAACTGGAGTGGTACAACTGGGTCTGATAGTCATAACTTTATGTGTCTGCCTCTTAATTTTATCAGAAAACATTTTATTATTTTTGTATACAAGATTGAGAATTTCTTTCATGAAAATATTTAAAATAAACTAAACTCTTTGAATTTATTAATTAATAAATTATTATAAGTATAATTTTTAGACATGGTATAATCTAATCTATGATTTTTAACAGAAGTATCTTGCAAATATATGCAATCCGGATATTCGTTTTACCAATTAAACATGTTTGTGTTGAAATAAAGATAATTTTGATCAAAACATATTCACCCTTTATCTATGCAGTTAGTTTATTAATAGTTGTGTTGTAATAAACTACTTTTTTTGTAGATAAGAGCAGTGTCGGATTGGGACCTCCAGGGCCTATCCATCAATTTTTTTTCTTGATTTCTTCATTAATTGAAGAGCAAAAAAAGGTCCTGCAGTTAGTTTATTAATAGTTGTGTTGTAATAAACTACTTTTTTTTGTAGATAAGAGCAGTGTCGGATTGGGACCTCCAGGGCCTATCTATCAATTTTTTTTCTTGATTTCTTCATTAATTGAAGAGCAAAAAAAGGTCCTCTTTTTTGATGCTATTTCCGAGGTATTACGCAAATTACGTATTTGATTCTTTGTTCTTCTCAAGGAACCACTGCCTGAACGAGGGCCCATTGACCGAGCGAGGGCACACTGCTTAAAGAAGGACCTACCGGTCCAAAGACCGGTAGACAGACGGCCCAATCTGACACTGCCCAATTTATTTTTTTTTTTTTTTTTTAACAGAAACTTATTGTGAATTCTTAAATCCAGATACATTTTTTAAATTTTATAAAAAAATCAATATCTACTGCTTAAATAACTCGTAAACTAATCCATGAAAGATAATAGGTCAATCCAAAAAAAATTAAATATTAAATAATCATTAATTTAATGAAAATGTGTGTGATGAATGGGTTTAGAAAAGTCACTTAATTGCTTATGTATTTACATATTTGATATATAAATTATAAATTTTATATCTACCGACAATTATTTTAATATTATGTTTTGTGAAGGATGTTAATGAATCATCAACATAAATATAAACATCGATAAGAGTTGCAAAATTAATAGGTAACTTTTTAAGTCGTTTTAAAGGCGCGTTTTCGAATTAAAAAATAGTTATGATTTGTGAAATGTAAATAAGAAATATGTTTTAGTTCAGTTAAATAAATCAATGTGGATTTCTAATTCTGATACTTACTCTAAAGCGCAATATCCTTGACAAATTGAAATGCCGCCAATCACATTCGGAGGCTTGGGTTTGCTTTCTCCTAAATATTTTGTAACCAAATTTCCTCCAAGACTAAAACCTACACATACAACTTTGGTATCAGGGTAACGGACAACTAGGTTTCTGACCATTGCTTGAAAATCGTCGGTTTTACCTAGAATATAAAAAAATATATATAAAATTAACTATTTTTAGAGAGATAAAGGTATATGGCAGACAAGATTAGATGTCTACAGATTAGAGAACACGCTTGGAAAAAA